AAGACAGAAACATTCTACATTGTGATAACATTGTAATAATTTATGTCTTTCTCTATTTCATGATCTTGGGGATTATGTGTACCCACAGGATCATGTAGGCCTAAGATGCACACTTCATCCCTAGAGCCACATGATGTCTAGCTGCTACCCTGGAAAATTTAGCCCCAGTGCAGGTCCTTGAGAGGCTGCCCTCAAAGCTCCCTAGCTTTAGCATAGTGGGTCCTCAATTAATAAATATTGACTGAATAGCACATTAGTTCATATTGGTTTCCATTAGCATTTTATGTGTAAAGAGAATCAGCTTTCCCCTGCTTCCTCCAGCCATGTTTAAGATCTCAGAAATAAGACAGTCTTGCCTCAGAAGAGCCTACAAACCTGTAAGAAGAGGTATTGCCCAAAATCAAATTACAGTGAAAGTAGTAAACTGTGAAGTGGGCCATACTTCAGGGAGCTGAACTTCATAGTTCTGAAGCCCTTTCAACCACATAAAAATACTAACAATAATACTAGAACTCATTGCCAAAAGGCAAGTCTAAGGTTTCAAAGAAGATTAGTAAAAATGCTAATTTGGGCATTGAAATTGTTACTTTGGTCTCTCTACAAGAAATTGTCTTTACTGTCTTTCAAACATAACAGAGGAGAGCTTAATGTCCCTTGGAGAACAGACAAATACAGGCCTTTCATAAACCTTGAAGAAGCCGCCACCACCACCAACGTTATGAACAAGAAACATTTCAACATTGAATCTATCTTGTGGGATAACGCTTAAAACTCATCTGATTCAGATGGATGGGATTTCTCCACAGCTGTGAGAACCCCCAGATAAGGATAAACTGAGTGCCCTGAATGGTTAAAGCCCTGGCTTGGAAATCAGGGGCCACCGCTTCATTTCACTTGCCTTGAGGAAGCCTGTAGATGAACTATGCATGTCCAGCTTTTTCCTGGCTATCACATTTCAGTGAAACTCTGATTTAAACTTTGCAGAAAGTATTCCCAGTTGCAAAATTCTTACCAGTCCTCCATTTTGTTCTAAGATGGTAAATTGAACTATAAATCTGAGTTAAACTGAATCCTGGAAACTTTTAATATTGTCAAAAATTAATCAGCTCTGTAAAAGTGATGATGTGACAAACATGAAATATTAAGTGGCTCCGTTAAAAAAAAAGGCTTCACTTAATATTGATGATGATGATTTCTTTGGAAGTAGTTGCTTCTCACTTAAATATGCTTAAGCCCATCACTGTATACTTAACCAAAACAATGTAGTGCTGTCCTGTAGGATGAATATGTTCCACTGCTTAGAAAAATGAAAGTGTGATATTGAGATTAGTATTTGAGTCCAGAGAGGGATGTTTGAATCCCAGCTCTGTTACATGCAAATTCATGTTGTCTCAGTGTTCTCATCTGTAAAATGGAGCCGAGAATGTCTCTATATTGTTGTTACTCTGACTAAATGAAGGAATATGTGGGTGAAGTACCTGGCCGATAGTGCATGTTCAATAAATGTCTGCTGTTGTTAAAATGTAGTTCTTATGTCTTGCTCACCCACACAGCGAGGAAACTAAGTTTATCAACTTACCAAGCTAACTAAAGAAATGAGAGTTGAAAGAGAATTGCACTCTTGATTACATATCAACTTATTTTATGTCTCACGTGTATTATCTCCCTAAGATGGTGAAGTCCCTAAGGACGGAAACTGAACCTTCTCTTTTTTTCCTGTACACCGTAGTGACTAACATAATGCTACACAGACACCCAGGAATTGTCTGTTGCCAGGACCTTACTTAACAATGCGGTATGTCTGTGTATACCCCTCCTATGAGAACAGGTATGCCCTGCCATATAAAAAACTGAAAGTTTCCTGGTAGCTCTTATTTTCCAATAAAAACTGGGACATTCTACCATCTTCAAATTGTTTTGCTTTCTAATTGTTTTCTGGGCCTATCTTTAGCCATTTTATTATTTATGCATTTATAAATATCATTAGCACTGCAGTTGGTGCTGAGATAATCTTCTTGTCTCCATTTTTAAATGAAAATTTTGGTTTTCTAATATTACTTACATTAGTTAGGCGGTCCTTTATATTTAACCTTTCTATCCGCATATTTAAATATATTTAATGATTTTTCTGTAGCTTTGTGGTAAGTAAACTTATCTAATTAAGGCATCTTGTACTCTACACATTTTATTCAAGTTCTATTGATGTCCTAGCATCTGATTACCATTTTGTGGAACACTTGAAAATCCATTACTCTTCTCTGAAACCCTTAAAAAGGCCTGAATGTATAATATTAATTACAGATTGAGGAACTACTACTACTGACTTGCATATGTATAAGTGATCAAATTGATAATTAGCTTTTAAGTCATCTCTTGGTAGCAGGAACATAGCAGGAAGATCCAGAGAGCATTTACTACAGTAGTATTACTCAGGAATTTTTTTTTTAATTATGGTATCATTGATATACAACCTTATAAAGGTTTCACATGAGCAACATTGTGGTTTCAACATTCACCCATATTACCAAGTCCCCCACCACCAGACCCCATTGCAGTCACTGTCCATCAGAGTAGTAAGATGCTATACAGTCATTACATGTCTTCTCCATGCTGTACTGCCTTCTCTATGACCAACTTATATTGCGTGTGCTGGTTATAATGCCCCTTAATCCCATTCTCCCTCCCTCCCCACTCACCCTCCCCACCCGCTCCCCTTTGGTAACCGCCAGTCCCTTTTTGGAGTCTGTGAGTCTGCTGCTGTTCTGTTCCTTCAGTTTTGCTTTATTATACTCCACAAACAAGTGAAATCATTTGATTACTCAGGAATTTGAATGGAACTTTAACATTGTTTTTATCCCCACAAGGATGCTCCTGCCCTGTAAGGTATTTAACTGTTATGGCAGCTATGTTTTATCCATGAGGAAATTGAGGCCCAGAGCAACTGGTGACTTCCCCAGTCATAAATAGTTAGTGGCAGAGCTGGCATAAGAACCCACATCTTCAGTTTCCAATTACTTTTTCAGATCTTGTTAAGAATTGTAGTTCAAAATTACAGTCTTGGCCACCAACTATTTACTTTTTTATTTATTATATATATATATTATATATATATATGTTTTTATTTAAGTATAGTTGATATACAATATTATATTGCTTTCAAGAATACAAAATAGTGATTCAACAGTTATCTACATTATTAAACACTCACCCCAACTAGTGTAGTTACTGTTGACATAGAAAGATGTTACAGAACTATTGACTATATTCTCTGTACTGTACATTCATCCTCCTGACTAACTTACATTATGATTAAGATTTTGTTAGCAGCAGACTCACAGACACTGAGATGGGACTAGTGGTTACCAAAGGGAAGGGGTTGGGGAGGATGGGGAGGGAGGGAGAAGGGGATGATTCACAATCACAATATAGGCAGGTCACAGGGAAGGCAGTACAGCATGGAGACGAAAAGTAGTGACTCTATAGCATCTTACTACGCTGATGGACAGTGACTGCAATGGGGGGGCGGTGAGGACTTGATAATATGGGTGAATGTTGAAACCACAGTGTTGTTTATGTGAAACCATCGTAAGATTGTATATCAGTGATACCTTAATAAAAAAAAAAGATTTGTGCCTCTTTATCCCCTCCACCTACTTTATCCACCCACCCCAGTGCCTCCCCCATGGTAACCACTAGTCACTTCTCAATGTCTATCAGTTTATTGCTGCTTTGCTCTGTTTTGTTTTGTTTTTAGGTTCTGCATGTAAGTGAAATCATATGGTGTTTGTCTTTCTCCACCTGACTGATCACTTAGAAAAATACCCTCTAAGTCCATCCAAGTAGTCACAAATATCAGGATTTCTATCTTTTTTGTGTCTGAGTAATATTACACTGTATATATATGTCTCTTCTTTATCCATTCATCTACTACTGATGGACACCGGTTGCTTCCATATCTTGGCTATTGTAAATAATGTGTCAATAAACAGGAGTGCATATAGCATTTCAAGTCAGAGATTTTGTTTTCATTGGGTAAATTCCTAGGAGTGGAATTACTGAGTCAAATGGTATTTCTATTTTTAGTGTTTTGAGGAACCTCCATACTGCTTTCCACAGTGGCTGTGCCAGTTTACATTCCCACCAACACTGTAGGAGGGTTCCCTTTTCTCCACATCCTCACCAACGCTTGTTATGTCTTGTCTTTTGGATAGCTACCATTCTGAACTGGTATGAGGTGATATCTCATTGTGGTTTTGATTTACATTTCCCTGATGATTAATGATGTGGAGCACCTTTTCATATGCCCATTGGCCATATGTATTTCTTTAGAGAAATGCATATTCTGATCCTCTGCCCATTTTTTAATTTGTTACTTGTTTTTTTGGTGTTGAGTCATACTAGTTCTTTGTATATTTTGAATGTTAACAACTTAAGGGATTTATCATTTACCAATGTATTCTCCCATACTTAGGTTGCCTTTTTGTTTTGTTGATGGTTTCTTTTACTGTACAGAAGCTTTCAAGTTTTATGTAGTCCCACTTGTTTAATTTTGATTTTGTTTCCCTTGCCTAGGGAGACATGTCCAGAAACAAATTGCTCATACTAATGTTCAAGAAAATTTTGCCTATGTTTTCTCATGAGAGTTTTATGGTTTCATGTCTTATATTAGGTCTTTTATCCATTTAGACTTTACTTCTGTGTATGGTGTTAGGGAGTAATCCAGTTTCATTCTCTCACATGTAGCTGTCTAGTTTAACCACAACAGTTATTGAAGAGACTGACTTTTCCTCATTGTATATCTTGCCTTCTTTGTCGTATATTAATTGACCATATATGTGTGGGTTTATATCTGGGCTCTGTATTCTGTTCCATTGATATATATGTCTGTTCTTGTACCAGGCCACCAACTATTTTTGCTATCCAAAACAGTTGATCATTCCACATTCCATGTCAAAATACTTTTCATTTGACCCCAAAACATGTTTTGTGTTTCCCCCCAGTTTGAACGCAATGACCCTGTGGATGGGAAAATTACTGAGAGGCAGTTTGGTGGCATGCTGTTGGCCTACAGTGGGGTGCAGTCTAAGAAGTTGATTGCCATGCAGAAGCAGCTCAAGAAGCACTTCAAAGAGGGAAAGGTAAGTATGTGCCTAGATGAAGAAAAGGAACCATGGGAATATATGGTTATTGCAGAGGTTTTAGCATAATGAGAGAGGTCATGAACCAGAGATTATGACTAATTGATCTCTGGTACCTGAAAAAAATAATAATAACAGTGGATAAGGAAAAGGGGAGAGCCCAGAATGAGTACACGTTTCTTCTTCAGACAAAGAGTAGCACCATGAACTGAGATTGAGAATTTAAAAAGAGAAGCTGGTTTACAGGGGAAGATAAGTGTTATAGATATCTTTAGTTGAAAATTCCTGTGGACTACCCAAGTAGACATGATCAGCAGGCATGTGGATATACAAAGCTACTGTAGAAGACTGAGATAGATTTCAGAGTCATCAGCACATTATTAGAGTTAAACCATGAGAACCCTAGGAGAGTATTATATAGAAAATACCACTCCTCGTTTGGCCAAGGACAAAATCAAGTGAAACACCAGCATTTAAGCAGCTCAGGAAAGAAATCTTGAGGAACTAGTTAGAGAAATACATAGAGAAAGTAGTGAAATCAAAGCCAAGGAAGTAGAAGGTTCAGGAACTGAGGGGTCTATAGTGTAACATGGGACAGAGGATCCAGTAAAACAGGATGATAAACATCCACTGGTTTGCATAAAATGGTAATACTGATGACCTTGAGGAGATCTGTTTTATTAGAGTGGTTGGAGGGCAAATTATAGGGACAAGCAAGGAAGTAGAGAAAGAGAAAAGAGGAAGGAAGAAGAGGTGAGACGAGGTTCCAGAAGGCAGGAGGTAAAATATATTAGAAACTCTGAGGCAGTATATTAGTCCACTTGAGCGGCTATAACAAAATGCCACCAAGTAGGTGGTTTAAACAACAGAAATTTATTTTCTCACAGTTCTGGAGTCTAGAAGTCCCTGATCAAGGTGCCAGCAAATTAGGTTTCTGATGAGGGCTCTCTTCCTGACCTGTGGTCAGGTGCTTTCTTGCTTTGCCCTCACATGGCCTTTCCTCAGTGTTTGCATGGTGAATGGAATCAAAGCAGGGAAGGAGCATGTACTAGTTCTGATGTATCTTCTGATAAGGACACTAATCTAATCAGATCAGGGCCCCACCCTTAGGACTTCATTTAACCTTACTTAATCAGAGGCCTCATTTCCTCGTACAGTTATACTGGGGGTTAAGGCTTCTAAGTTTTAGGGAGACACAAACATTCAGTCCTTATTAGGCAGGGAATAAACTAGCATGTGTGAGAAGCTGAAAGAAGACTACTATTGTTGGAGCATACCAGCAAGGGGTAGAGTGACTTGAGATCTGACAGGCCAGAACTAATAGAAAGCACAGAAGCAAAAAGACAAATGCTAAGAGTGTTCAAGAATTCATGAAAAGATGGTTGAGCATTTTCTGAGCAGCACTGAGATTGGAGACCATGGACTTGTAGTGGCAGTAGTCAAAACTGCTCTCCAGTACCTTTCAACCCCAACTGCACCTGATGCACAAAGAGGCAGATTGTAGAACTGAGTCAGCATCTGGGGTTCTGTGGGGGTGGGGTGGACAAACTGAAGTAGAAATCCCTAGTTAAGAAGCCAGACTTCTTGAAGATCACACGCATGCACGCACTGGGGCCAGAGCTGGATCTTCTTATTCTCAGCCCAGCACCCTTTCCACTGGACAATGATTACCACTTGGCCATGACCAGAAAAACTAGCACTATATATGTTCCATGAGAGAGATTGCCAACATGGCTTTGTATGGTAAACATAGAGCTTGAAGACTTGAGTTCAGGCCTTGTCTCAGAGGTTTCCATGAATATTGGACAATGGCTTCATGAATTGAGAAGCTTGTCCTAGGTTCATTCTAGAAGGGCCCTTCTAGCCTTAAAGACTCAATACCTGAAAATACAAAATAGGGCTGCCTGTACTTGTCTCAGTTTTCCTAGTTATTAGTCTTTGTGTAGGAATCTTGCATGAATAGCATTGTTCTAAGTTGGTGGAAAGCAATTCTTATCTCTCAGACTTTTTTTCTTGTCTTGGATGTTGAAAAGCTTGAAGGGCCTCTGAACCAGGCTATGAACTACAGCTGAGAGTAAACTGCGCTCTGAAACAAAGCATCAGCTTCTCTGAACTCGGTCCAGCCTGTCCCTACAGCAAGTGTTCCCTTGGCTATGGAGGGACAGTCATCATTAATGGAAAGTGACAGGACTTCTACAGAGAAAACTTCTACACTACCCAGTACCCAGCTTATATTGGCTGGAAACTGTAATTTCAGAAAATTGATTACAAATATTTATGTGGATTTTTTGCATTAGGAAACACTCCTTGATTTTGGCCAGACTTATTTTTAAAGTTTGGTGCACACATTAATTGGACCTTAAAATAATTATCTATCATGATAGGCTATGTCATGTTTTATTATGAATTTAAAAGTAATAAATTGGGTGTTGGAGACATCTCCCTTGATGGAATAGAGTATGTTAGCTTTGGCAGGAGTTAATTTAGGACCTGAAGACCTTGCAAAATGAGCTCTGAAGTAAAAGGACAAAATGTTGTCAGATGATGAAAATCTAGGGTGCTAAATTACTTCTGGTCCAGAATTTATAGCCTGCTTTAGGCAAGGAGATTGAGATTAATTGTCCTCTCATGTTGATTAAATAGTGAACATAGCAATTAACTAAAATTAGAGTTAATGAAGGGCTTTTGCTCCTAAAGTTACCAGTCCATCTCTCTAGGACCATTTCTCATTAAAGGGGACACACCATGTGCTTTCTAATTGTTCCTTTTATTCCACTTTGCACTTGTTAACATGAAAATGATAAGTTCTCACTTGGTTTGTGTTAATCATTTCCTGTGTGAGGTTCTATACAAAATACAAACCAGACCTAAAATATTGAAGGTCCTAGTGGTGGCATTAAATATTTGCATGTTACTTAGTGATCATGCAGTGCTTCACAGTCATTTTTCTTTGACTATAGAGACAGAGAAAAAGGGACACTAGGGACCCACCCAGAGTCTGGACTGAAAATCTAAGGCTTCTTATTCCTGATCTTGTCCTTTCCACAGCAAAGTTCTTTGTCTCCTAACCACACTCTTCCTCTAAAGCAGTGCTTCTCCACCCTGGTCTCCCAGTATCACTTCTGAAATTTTTAAAAAATATGGTTGTTGAGCTCTGCTACAAACCAATTAAATCAGAAGCTCACTGGGTGGGTCCAGGCATCAGTGTTTCTTAAGACTCCACGGTGATTCTGATGTGCAGGTAGGCGTGTGAGCCACTGCTCTGGAGGGGCTGTGCTCCATCAGTGTCTCTACCTGTTTTGTCCCTAAGTGATAGCTTCAACTGGGGGACCTACAGTACCTAGAAACATTACTCTGTTCATGCTCTGAATAACTGCCGTGTTTCTTATTTAACAGAGAGAGAGTTTTCTTTTTTTTTATGGGGAACATGTTTTATTTTGGCTTTACTTTAAAGATTAATCCCTATCTTGTACCCGATTTTCCACATTTCCCCCAAATAGTTTCCCTGTGAATAATTCTTCTAGGCCAAATCTGACTCAGCTCTAAAATGTCCTTACTTTCCATCCTCCAAATTATCTTCTTCTCCATATTAAAAAAAGACAAAAGTTTTCTGAGACTTCATAAATGTATTAAGTGGTGGTTCTCTATGCTTAAGAGTGCAGAAGCTGAAAACTTTAGTAATTCAGCAAATGCACTTAAGGATGAATTGAAAATTATATTTCAGTTCAGTGGCAGACATTGTTATATGCAAGACACGAGATAGGATAAAAGGTAAAGAAAAACCATTACCTATCCTTAAGAAACATATAGTCTGTAATGGCTTAGTAAGAAAAAAAATATGTACATGAACTATACTACAGTGACTTTGTTGAACACCTAATAGGGTAATTCAATTTTTTTAAGGGCTATGCAGCAATGTTTCTAGAGTCTGATATTCCACAATGACCACAATGTAGTTCAACTCTTAAATACTAGTGAGAATAAGTGAGTAGGAGAGTCCGAATTAACATTATCTACAGACAATATGCAAAAGTTAATAATCTAATAGTTTTATTTTAACTATTTGGTAAGCATCAACCCTGCTTAATGGCTAATAACCATATTAAAATAATAAACAGTGACATATACAGAAGGCTTTTTGGGATAGGGCCATAAGAGAAAACGCGTAGAGAAAGCAAACGCCTTTATAACTTGCACTTGTCAAAAGCCTGCTGTTTAAGACCATGCTCAAATTGCACCTGTCCCAAGAATTCCTACTGAGTCTCTTCAGTTGGTTTTACTCTTTCTCACTGGTGCCCCCAAAAGCTTTCATACCTCTGTTAGGGTACTTACTACATTCACCAATGGCTCCGACAAGCATTCGTCTGTGAGACACTGACCACACTGAGTACAGGCAGAGGTGCATAAGACACTGTTCTCAAGGGGCTCCAAGCTGAGTGGGTGGTGGTGTGCTATAGCTCTTTATCATCTGTCTGCTCCACTAGGAGTATCAAGCTGTGTGAGGGCAGAGACTTGGTTTTGCTCATTGCTGTGGTCCCGGTATTTAGACGAGTGCTCGCTGTTCCTGGACTAGTGCTGATGGATATAAGTGCACAATAAATATTTTTTATTACATCTATGTAATAAAAGGCAAAATATTATGTATTTTGATTTAATAATGGCATAAATGTGATTTGTGTTCCACTGCTTTTCTGAATCATCAAATGAATAGCCACTCAATTCATTTGTTCTCTCCATCTGTCCTCAAATAATTCTTAGCATAAGCACTGTAGTCTTGAGCTATAGTATTTGGTGTTTCACAGTAAATCCACTAACAAACATTAGAGGCTGTTCATCAAAGTGGGAAGCATTTCCACTACCATGCCCCATCAGTTTTAGGAATTTGGGTTAACCTTTTATTCCTAAACACCCTTGAATAACTCAGATCCCTATCCTTCCCTCACCCATGGAAATATACACCTTAAAAAAAGTAAAAAAGCTTTAGCATTAGCATGCCATTTTTAAAAATCGTGATAAAATATACATAACAAAATTTACCACTTTTAAGTGTACAGTTCAGTGGCATTAAGTATATTCACACTGTTGAACAACCATCACCACCATCCACCCACAGAACTTTTTCATCTTCCCAAACTGACACTCTGTACCCATTGAACAATAGTTCCCCTTCCCCCTTCCTGCCAGCCCTTAGCAACCACTGTTCTGCTTTCTGCCTCTATGGATTTAACCACTCTAGGTACCTCATATAAATGGAATCAGGGTATTTGTCCTTTTGTGTTAAGTTATTTCACTTAGCCTAACATCTTTAAGTTTCATCCATGTTGTAGCAAATGTGTTTCCTTCCTTTTAAAGGGTGAATAATATTCCATTTTATTTTGTTTATCCATTCATCCAGTTTTATGATTCTAGGGAGAAAATTGTAAAAAATGTGACATATACATATTATAATCAATATACTCATGATTATACATACATTATTTTAGCTCTTAGTTTAATTGATAAAATAAGAAAGACACTATTGAACCAGTCTGGAGAATACAAGGAAAGAACTATAGATAGTCTGTAATAAGTTCCTTTATTACCAGGTTCCCAGTGTGGATCCTAGGCTCTCTAGTTTGGGGAAATGGAAATTGGAAAAGGAGCACCACTAAGTAGAATCCTGTCAATATCTGCAATCCATTAAGGACCTGGTACTTCATTAAAAGGCAGTAACCCCAGTGGCTCCCCAGTGTCATCCACTTCTTAGACATTGTATTCATTTCCATCACAGGGTTGTGTCTGAGAGGTGGGAAATAGGCAAATAGGACAAGTCTTCCTCCCTGCAGCCCCGGTATATACAACTACTCACTCTCTTTTGAGCCGTCATAGAATTTAGAATTAGAGATCAGCAAATCTTTGAACAGTTTCGAAAAATACTTCTTTCACAGGTTTTCATCAGATTAAAGCAAATTGCTTCATTAGTAGCTTTTAAATTGAGATAATGAACAGCTTCCCAAATGCTTGGGTTCTGCTAAATTCTGAAACCGTTTCCCTGTGAATCATTGACTTTGATGATTCTTTAATTAGCTTAAGGCTCAAAAATCTTGGCTAGCCTATTAGTAAATTACTAAAATAGATGTCCTGACTCTGGTCTCATTAAGATTTATGACATATAACTGATCAAGTGGCCACAGCTTCTTTAGGGAGTGTCTTATTAGATATTGTGACTAATTGGAGGGCTCAGAAATATTTTTATTAACGATAACAGCCATCACTGTAAACAGCTTCATGTCAAATTTTAAATATGAGGAAAAAGCAATTAGCCAACTTCTTCTCAGGGTAAAATTTTAGAGTTTTGTTCCATTGTTGTATACAAATTTGACATTCCTTGACTAATTTATTCAGTTTCTATTCTAAGCATGGTATAAATTTCTGATTTATAGACATGAATAACTGCCTGGTTTTCTGCATTTTGTGCTTTTTGTTACAGGTTCCTTACCTTGCTGTCTCTCTTCTTTCAGGGTCTGACATTTCAGGAAGTAGAGAACTTCTTTACTTTCCTAAAGAATATTAATGATGTGGACACTGCATTGAGCTTTTACCATATGGCTGGAGCATCTCTTGATAAAGGTAATGAAACTCAAACACTTTTTCTTGAAGGTAGAAACATTACATCTGTAATCTGTTAGGTGACTATGCCTCCTTTATAGTAATGTATGTTTTTCTTGATGTTTTTGGTTTGTTTTGTTTTGTTGACACTGTATGAACCTTGTGTATCACTGTAAGAGGCCAAGCTCAGCAAACATGTTTTCTTGTGCTGAAGGCTATAGTCAAGGCAGGTGCCCATCTCTAAATGATTTACCTTGAAAGTGGGCATCTAAGCTGAGGCATGGTGCATGAAACATGAACTTCTCTCATCAGAGCCAGAACTGGGACATACACAATGTGAAGCTACAGTCAGTATGCATTTCAATGCATTCTTTGGTGAGAAGGAATAGTTTGTTTCATTTCTTGTATTAAAGTGACTTTTTTGTACCCCCTATTAGCTTAGTTCATACAAATTCAGTTCTAATTTGTACAGGCAATGCAAGAGAGACGAGGAATTGAAAACACTAAATTTTCCCCAACATTTTCTTATGAATATTTTCAAACATTCAGAACAATTGAAATAATTACTCAAAGAACATCTGTATATCCAGTTCAATTAGCATTTTGCTATTTTTCCCTGACATTATATCTATGTATATATATTCTTCCCTCCATTAATCTTATTTTTCATGCATTCAAAGTAGGTTAAAGACATAAGCGCTCTTTACTCCTAAATATTCCACCATGAATATTCCCTAAGTTTGGTATTTATTTAAAGTTCCTTGGTGCCCCTTCACACTCACGTATTTCTGCCTCCACTCACCAAGAAGCAGTATTAATTCTGTGTATTTTTCTACCATTGATTGATTTTTTTGTTCTAGAACTTCATACAAATGAAATTAAGCAATGTGTCTAAAGTTCCTGTCAGCCTGTTTTTGAGAGCCATCCAAGTTGTTGTATGTATAGTAGTCTGCTCCTTTTTTGAGTAGTAACCCAGTATATGAATACCCCACAATTTGTTTCTCCATTCTTCTATTGGACACCTTGGCTGCTTTCTGTTATTGGCTATATTGAAAAAAGTGAAAAAAGCTGCTGTGAACCTTCTTGTGTTAGTCTTTTTGAAGGTATGCATTTTCATTTCTCTTGGATAAATACCGAGGAGTGAATAGCTAGGTCCAGGGGAAGGTGGATATTTAGTTTATAAAAAAACTGTCAGATCCTTCTTCACAGTGTATCTTTTTATGTTTCCACAACAGTTCACATTCTTATCAACAATTGGGGTATCAGTCCTTTTAAATTTCAGTGATTCTGGAGTGTTTTTAAAGGCATCTCACTGTTTTTTTCTAATTAAAGTGTAGTGGATATACAATTTTCTATTAGTTTCAAGTATACAACATAGTGGCTCAACAGTTACCCACATTATTAAATCCTCACCCCAACTAGTGCAGTTGCTACCTGTCAACACAGAGATGTAACAGAATCATTGGCTATATTCTCTGCAGTGTACTGCCATCCCCATGACCAACTTATATTATGGTTGAGAATTTTTGTGCCCCTTTATTCCCCATCCCCACCCATTCCAACTCTTCCCCCATGGTAGTAACCAGCAGTCACTTCTCAGTGTCTATGAGTCTACTGCTATTTTATTCATTTTGTTTTGTTTTGTTTTGTTTTTATATTCCAGAAATAAATAAAATCAAATAGTATTTGTCTTTCTTGACCAGACTTATTTGACTTAACATAATACCCTCTAGGTTTATACATGTCGCGTGGCAGAAATTCTTTCTTTTTTATGGCTGAAAAATATTCCATTGTGTATATGTACCACTTCTTCTTTATCCATTCATCTATTGATGGACGATTTGGTTGCTTCCATATCTTGGTTATTGTAAATAATATATCAATAAACATAGGGGTGCATATATCTTTTCAAATCAAGGGTTTTGTTTTCATCAGGTAAATTCCTAGAAGTGGAATTATGGTATTTCTATCTTGAGTTTTTTGAGAAACTTCTATACTGCTTTCCACAGTGGCTGCCCCAATTGACATTCCCACCAAGAGTGTAGAAGGGCTCCCATTTCCCTGCATCTTCACCAACAATTGTTATTTCTTGTCTTTTATATAGTGGCCGTCCTAACTGGTGTGAGGTGATATCTCATTGTGGTTTTGATTTGCATTTCCCTGATAATTAGCAATGTGGAGCATCTTTTCATATGCCTGTTGGCCATCTAATAATTAGTGATGTGGAGCATCTTTTCATGTGCCTGTTGGCCATCTGAATTTCTTTGGAGAAGTATATGTTCAAGTCCTCTGCCCATTTTTTAATTGAGTTATTTGCTTTTTTTGGTGTTGAGGCATATGAGTTCTTCATATATTTTGGATGTTAATGCCTTATCAGATAAATCCTTTACAAATATATTCTCCCATACTGTAGGTTGCCTTTTTGTTCTGATGATGGTGTCCTTTGCCGTACGAAGCTTTTTTTTTATTGAAATATCATTGATACACAATCTTATATTGGTTTCAGGTATACAACACAATGGCTTAACAGTTACCCATATTATTAAATCCTTAAACCCACTAGTGTCGTTACTATCTGTAAACATAGAAAGATATTACAGAATCATTGACTGTATTCTCCATGCTGTACTTTACTATCCCCATGACCAGCTTATATTATGATTGAGAATTTTTGTGCCCCTTTATCCACCTCACCCTCCCCACCAACGCACCTCAATCCCTCCCCAATGGTAACCACTACTCACTTCTCAGTATCTGTGAGTCTACTGCTGTTTTGTTCATTCTGTGTTGCTTTGTATTTATATTCTACAAATAAGTGAAATGATAAGGTATTTGTCTTTTTAATTTGATGTAGTCCCACTTGATCATTTTTTATTTTGTTTTCCTTGCCCATGGAGATGGGTCCAGGAAAAAATTGCTCATGTTAATTTCAGGAGATTTTTGCCTGTGTTTTCTTCTAAGAGTTTAATGGTTTCATGCCTTACATTTAGGTCTTTAATCCACTTGGAGTTTATTTTTGTGTATGGGATTAGATAGTAATCCAGTTTCATTCTCTTGCATGTAGCTGTCCAGTTTTACCAGCACAAGTAACTGAAGAGGATGTCTTTTCCCCATTGTATATTCATGGCTCCTTTATTGTATATTAATTAACCATATAGGTGTGGGTTTATATGTAGGCTCTCTGTTCTGATCCATTGATCTGTGGGTCTGTTCTTGTGTCAGTACCATACTGTTTTGATTACTGTAGTTTTGTAATATAGCTTGAAGTCATGGAGTGTAATTCCCCACCCCACCCCCAGCTTTGTTCATCTTTCTCAGGACTGTTTTGGCTATTTGGGCTCTTTTGTGGTTCCATATGAATTTTGAGATTATTTGTTCCAGTTCATTGAAAAATGCTGTGTATTTTGATAGGGATTGCATTGAATCTGTAACTTGCTTTGGGCAGGATGGCCATTTTGACAATATTAATTCTTCCTATCCATGAGCATGGGATAGATTTCCATTTATTTGTGTCTTTCTCTCATCAGTATCTTAATACTTTTCAGAGTACAGGTCTTTCACCTCCTTGATTGCATGTATTCCTAAGTATTTTATTCTTTTTGATGCAATTGTAAATGGAATTGTTTTCCTGATTTCTCTTTCTGCTAGTTCATTGTTAGTATAGGAATGCAACAGATTCCTGTGTATTATTTTGTATCCTGCAAATTTGCTGAATCCAGTTAGTAGTTCTAATAGTTTTTCATGAAGTCTTTAGGGTTCTCTATGTATAACATGTCATCTGCAGATAGTGACAGTTTAACTTCTTCCTTACCAGTTTGGATTTATTTTATCTCTTTATCTTGTATGATTGCCTTGGCTAGGACCTCCAGGACTATGTTGAATGAAAGTAGTGAGAGTGGACATCCTTATCTTGTTCCTGATCCTAGAAGAAAAGCTTTCAGCTTTTCACCATTTAGTATGATGTTAGTTGTGCTTTGTTGTGGATGGCCTTTATTATCTTGAGGTATGTACCTTGTATTTCCATTTTGTTGAGAGTGTTTATCACGAATGGATGTTGAATTTTATCAAATGCTTTTTCAGCATCAATTGAGATGATTATGTGATTTTCATCCTTAATTTTGTTAATATGGTGTATGATTGTGGGGAAAATGGAACTTTCTGACCAGGATTCCCACCTAGCCTTAAGAGCGCCCATTGTGTATGTAATAATAGTATGTTTGCACATTTTGAGAAGTTTACCAGTAACAGAGCCACTGATTAATCATAGGAGTACCTGCCCAGGAGAAGGGTAGAAACACCCATTCTCTCTTCTGCGAGGCATGTAATTGGTCAGGCGTACACCAGTCACCAGGGACCTATCCACAGAGTTGCTCCTAGAGCATGGGAGCAAGAAGCTTGGAATGGCTGGGAAAGCAGGAAAAAAGCCATGGAGTCCCAGTGCTCCTGGAGAATTAAGCCCAAGCCTAGGAGCAGGGAGCTAGGCAGGCCACAGGTAGAACAGGGAGCAAAGGGAGACTGAGACCTACTACCTAGAGAATTAAGCTTATGCCGGGGATCAGAAACTGTAGCTGGCCTGGGGAGCACAGTCCAGCCAGCCACATGTACCAAGCTGCCTGTGATGGCTGTGAGAATAAATGTGGTAAGGTACTTTACTCCCATTTGTCTGTTTTTCATTTTAAATGATATCAATCTTTGTTTCATGAATTTTGAGCTCTGGCATTAAGTGCATACGCACTTTATGATTATTAAGCTTTCCTGATGAATTGACCTTTTGTCATTATAAAATGTTCTCTTTATCTTTAATCATGCACCTTTTCTTGAAGTCCATTTTGTCTGATATTGATATAATTACTCCAGCATTTTTTGTCATCATTGTTTGCATGGCATGTCTTTTTTTCCTATATTCAACCTATCTGTGAATTTAAGGTACATCTCTTCTAGACATATAGCTGGGTCTAGTGGATTTTTAGCTACACTAATTTGCATTTTATATTTTAGTGGTTTCTCTATAAATTATAACT